AGTGATGAACCGTGTCATGCGTGTCAGGTTAAGTGATTACATCGAAAGGCACAAACTTCTATACATTTAAATATATGGCTTTCGCAAACATCTGCAGACAGAAGATGTTTTCCTTAGACTCCCAAACGAAGTAATTAATGACGTTCTGTTTGGAGCGAAAAATATTGTGGTGGTGGTGGACCTAAAGAGCGCATTCGACACTATGTCTCATAAACTTGTCATACAGGAACTACAGCTAATGGGCTGCGGACAAAGAATTTTCGACTATGTCAATTTCTTCCTGACTGGTAGAAGTGCCACAATAAGACTACAAGACAGGATCGCTGAAAATAAACCTCGCCAACAAAAGAACTCCACAGGGAGGTATATTCTTGCCATTACTGTTCTGAATGGGCATGAATTGTTTAGCTAAAAGGGTAAATGACGTTCAAGACATTATCAATATATGCAGATAATATCACGTTATGGATGCATAAAGACTCATTATGCCACAAAGAAAGTACCTTGCGAAAGGCCGTTAGCACCGCTGAACAATATTTCGTGGACCTCGGCATGGCCTTCGCACTGCAGAAGTCTGAATAAATCAGGGTTTATGGAAGAAATTACCGTAACAGACCAAATGTGACTTTTCGATTAAAAACAGCACTCTTCCAGAAATGACCAGGAAGAGTGTTTTGGGCCTCTAGATCCAAAGCAACAGGCGAGTGGATTACACTGTTAAAACTCTGAAAACGACAATGAAGCAAATAGCTCGGCTAATTTCAAGAATCGCTAAGTAAGAAAGAGGCTTCTAAGAAAGCGAAACAATACGACTGCTTCAAGTTTTTGTGATTAGCAGAATAACATACGTTCTACCCAATCAAAGCCTAAGTTGCTGAGAAATCAAGATGGAAGATTTGGTCATACAGGGCACTTACAAAGCGGCTCTACAACTGCCAGTGAACGTTTCGAATGAAACACTTCATGACACAGGTATATACAACAGATTTGAATAGCTGAAGGCTGTGGTTATAATAACTCTGACAAAACGACTGGGTGTAACGTAAACTGGACAACAACTATTATCCGAACTGAGCTGCCCGGTCCAACCTCCATACTGCAGTGACAAAATTCATCAAACTACGAGTAACATCACGAAGAAAATACCAGAGACACCTATACCGAAGAAAATCAATGCCAAATATCACAAAGGCAGAAGGCAAGCCCGAGCCAAGCAACTCTTTAAAACCTTCGGACACAGTCTGGAGGTGCTGTACCCAGATGCCACTCGAACTGTCAAAAGAAACATCATAATAGTTGTTCGCAGCCCACAGCGCAATCAATCTCACTGCATCAGTCAATAGCAAATGCACAGCCAGAGCTGAAGCCTCAGCAATCACGATGGCAATCAAACATTCCGACAACGTTGGGCAGTGAGCCTTGGTTATCCCCAATTTTCTGGCAGCGTGCAGAATGCACGTACATGGGAGACTACCACGAATCTCGCTATTATCGCATGGTCTTCTCGGACAATCACTCTGAGAAGACCATGGTGTTTAGCTCATCAGGACATCCCTGGGAATGAGAAGGCGCGCGCCTTTGCTCGAGAGCTTACTAACCGAGCGGGGCGCCACAGCCCAAGTCAAAATAGTCCGCTTATGGCGCAAGACATCCCTGAACCCCAAATGAAACATGAGAAAATGTCTAGCCCGACCACATCCGAAGCTGTGAACTGCAGAAGCTCGTGCATATAAATAACTAAAACGAACACCTCCCCACTAGGAGAGGGCCCACCACATGAATTCCACAACATATGGCAAAGCATGTCCTTGTTGTAGTGAACGGCCTTCACTTTCTCATGTGACGTCAGAATGCGCAGGAAGACCACATGAGGCAAACTCGCCTGGGTTTCGAGCTTATTCTAAAGAGCCGTGGGAGACCGTCCTCGCTCGGCTGGGGCTTGAGCTCGAAAGAGGCTTCTTGGACAAGGCGGAGCGTGTAGCAAGGATCACTGGAGTCCTTGAATAGGGACCCACCTACTCGCTTTTTCTTCTTTCACCACTTCGTCTGAATAACCAAAAGTTTTTCCACCACACAATCATCATTACACCTCCATTGAAATTCGAGTGCCGCGTTCGGGAGCAAGCTCATGACCGTCGGTGAACCAGCCGAGCACCCTAGCCACTGATCCACCGAAGTGGACGAGTGAACCATATGTTAAGAGACACGGTGGTGTCTGACCCAGGGTTTTTCTAAAGTCTCCTTCTTACTGGAGCAAGGCAGGCTCCTTAGCCTCGCACTATGGCCTGCGAGATGGCGGGTGGGTGCACACCCTGCTCGCCCGCCATCTTTGAGGCTGTGCTCACACAATGTCCATTGTCACCATCGTCGTCGTAGGTCTCCGTCGACCATCGGTACACCTGCGGCGCCACTCCGAAACCTTCTCTGAGCAAGCGTATCGATAAAGAACATGGCGTCGTGTGTAGAACCGTACCCAGGGTAGTGTGTGCCTAGAGCGCAAATAGCGCGCATACTGAACGTGCAGGTGTAGCGCCGACGCCGCTTCGCCCGAATTACATAACCTGTGTAAAGAGCGCTACATTGCTCGCAAGCCGCTCGAACTTGGATCGTGCAGTGCTAGAGCATCGATCAGTGGCCGTAAACTTAATAACATTAGAGTGTATAGAACCGGGGAGTGCCCGTAACGAGCTTCGAAAAGTGAAGCACATATATAATGAATACTTTTGTGGCGCTGCTGTCGGCAGTATACAATGGGTCGTGATTTTAGGAGTTGTGTGCGGCTCTGCCAAAGAGGTTCAGGAGTATAAATGCCCGCTTTTCATTTAAAAGGGCTCATTTGAATCGCACATGTAGATGTTGGATTTGTATTCCTAGTATTAGTTGTGACAGCTTCATTTGGTTTGCCTTTAATTAATTGCGGGAGCAATTGCATGGACACTCTTAGGTAGATTTTGCTGCTCACGTTGACGTCGCCATCACTCACTGTATATGTATACGTAGTTATATATATAAAAACGCAATAAACAAAAATAGAATAATCCAGTCAAAGTCTCTGGCGCACTGAATCAAACTTTGGTCCTCTGAATCGTGAGTGCGAGGCGTTAACTACTGAGCCACCAAGAAGCACGTACTTCAATGTTCAAACGGTTAACTATTAATATCTACCACTTACCACCGATGACGAGCATCTTGGGGGGGGGAGATTGTGTTTTCAGCATTACTATCAAAATGATGCAATGAGCACGCGTAGCCACATTGTCACGACAGGTGCGCGCTTTTATCTCTCACGCGCACTTTGACCCGCGAGGAGTAGGGGGACGACGCTCACGCCCGAGCTTTTATCTTTCAGTGGGGATGATATCCTGTGCGCGATCTTCCTATTTGTTGCTATCACGTTCATTGCTTTGCTTTTGTGGAAAAGCTGTCACTTCATGAAACATACCTTCACTTGCTACGGGTTGCTACAAAAAGTATGCGAAATGTTAAGTGAATAAGATGAAATTTGACAGAAAGCCTGTTTATTTATTATAAACGTAAATTATGCCCCCTAATAATTTAGCGACTACGAGACGCGTCCTGAGCATGCTCGGTACGCTGCTTCTTATCCCCGGCCGCTGGCTTGCTTCAAAAGAAAAACTGAAAGTAAATGAACTTTAATCAGCGGCAAACCGCGAAAGTCTGAATACTGAAAAATCAACTGTTCTGCCTGTTTTTTTAGTGTTCCTCCGGACACTAAAGAAAAAGCTATTTGGCTGGTAACTTGAATAAAATGATCAAAATGTGTACGCATATTGGTGAACGTGTTGACAATGTGGATACAAATGCCACATCCCGCAACTGATATTGCGATCACATAGTTTAAATGATAAATAACGACGGAATATAATGTTGTGCTCATGGCCAGCTTGAGTAAAACTAAATGATGGAAACCACTATTAGCGCTTGCCCTAAAGACGCTCGCTGTCCGATTTCGTCTACTTCAAGTTTACAGCTGATTTATGTAGCATTACATGCAACTACCGAAGCTACATTTAAGACAGAAAGGTAAACCAGTTAGGCTGTAACAAGTGATACAAAGAATGAAAATTCACCACACACAGGTGCGATTTAAACCTGGGTGTCATGAGTGGAAAGGGGGCATTCTACATCTGCACCCCTTTTCAGAGCCACGCGCAACTCTTAAACACGTTTAAGAATACTGACAGCAACACTTCAAGCAGATCGACCCTGTTTGGGCATCCTTTTGTGTACATTGGGGCTGCGGCCGTTCCGAACACTCCTCAGTTTTAGTACATTCTACTAATCGACGAATCACGTAGACTGGCTTCCAAAGAGCTTCCCCTACCACCAGAATTCATGAAGTGAATACTGATGATGAAGCGAGAATATCAGCCGAGAGTGACGACGGAATTGCTTTCGCTGTAAAGAAAGACCATTTGTACAAAGCTTCGTATCAGGGGTCTTCTTTAGTGGTACAGGCTGTCACCGATTTCTTTGTCTCACTATACAAAAATAGGGGAGTTTACGTGCCATACCGCAAAATTATTATGAGGCATGTCGTATTCAGGAGGATGCTGAGTGTAGTTTCCAGACGCTGAATCGGCTGGTGCTAAACTGTATAAGCCAAACAATTTTTCATATTGCATGGTAAGGGTCTGACCAAGACTGCGTCGCCCTACCCAGAATTTCGCTTTCGAGAAGAGTGAACAACCACCCTTCTTATACATAATGTCTTGAGTGTATGCATGTGTGTGTACAGAGATAGATAGATAGATAGATAGATAATTATATAGATAAGATAAATAGATATGCATACACACTGCAGAAGTTGCAATAGAAGAGTTAAGTCCGCACCTTCACCCACCTATCGCTCGCCTATACCCTCCGCAACAAGTGCCTCTGCACAGGTGTCTGTTGTAGTGAACCTCAAGCTTTGCAGAACAGTGCCAATTGCATAAACTATCCTGTGAGTTTTGCTGGTGATCAAATCATGAACATACGTGCAGAATTGCTTGTAGGTGTCAAGATTCTTTGGTGTTTGTTCCGGATTTGACAGAGTGTAGAGTTTCTCCACCACCTGTTCTCTCAGCTTTGCAAAGCACCGCACAGCGTTGCTGCAGTCATAGTCTTCAGATGCCGATCGCCCTGCGAGAAGAGAAGAAATAGTAAACTCAAGACATATACATATCAAGTCACACCACTGTATATACAAGGCCTTTCAGCTAACTTGCAACAGGTATTATAAAAAACAAGCTTGGTCCCTGGGTCATAGGAATGAGTAATTTATGCAAGTAAAAGGTGTTCTTACAGAAGTAGTTTAATGTTTATTGTACATTGATATAAGAGTACTTGCGCAAAGTATATTGACGTGTGCTCAGATTTGGGTGCATGGTTAAGAACCCCAGGTGAACGAAATTTCCGCAGCCCTCCACTACAGAAAAATTGATTTGCCGCACAAACTTGAAGAAAAAAACAAAGGAGACAGGAAAGAGCGCAGACTACCAACTGTTTATTGTCGTTTTTTGAAGCCAACATGTACGCATGCTATGCTGCGCTTCCACAATGCGCACAAAACCAAAGACGCCGCAAACAAAGCCGACCGAAAACAAATCAAATCAAAATTGACTGCCACCACAATGACAAAAGTGAAAAATGGCGAAATACAAAAGTGGTACCCACCACAATCTAAACTGCGTAATCCCAAGGTGTGCGCTCATCTTTTTTTATTTAGCTTTTATTATTTATTGCACCAAGCATCAACAAAGGCATGAAAAAATGAAAACGTACTCTAGAGAGTTTTGTTTAAAAACCCTAAAAATAGCACTTAGCACCAAATAAAACAATAAATTAACATTTTTATATTCACTCCAAGCAGCCCTAATTGAGAAACTCGAAGAAGCAGTACGCCGAGAGAGGCTTATTGCCTTTTGATAGCGCGCACTCGAAGTTGATTAAGAGGGGTATTGTGTTGTCAGCTTGTGCAGAAGCCCTCGACAAGTCTTGCCCTCATCTGATCTTTCAAAGCTTCGAGAATCAGGTAGCTCGTCTGGGTGCGGCGTGATACCCAGCAGTTAATGTTGAGAGCTTAAGCAGACAAAGCGATAGGACAGTCTGGTTAAGCTATCTCACTCATGAGACTGACTTCTTGGACGCCTAACGTAGGCTAAAGTCACCTGCTCGTGGCAAGTAGGAGTTATTGAGTTCCACCAGAGGGGAATGCAACGCATGACATTGTATCTCTTGGGCTGGTCACAATTATTTCCAGGACTAGTGGGATCGCGGGAAGGTAGAGCCCGGCAAAGCCGGTTGGTGCCACTGAGCAATTTTCGGAAGAAAGTGATGCTATGACTGACGCAGGCGCTTGGGGTATAGGGTCGCCACCGGTGGGTGTGATAAGAAACACGCTGAAGAGACCGGAAGCTTAAAAACGACGCATTGAAGGAAGTAATCGCGGATGTCACGGTTAAGATGCATGACTGCCTTTTACAAAGAACGGTGTGAGAGGATAGTGGGAGACATAAAAGACGTATTTTCAAAGCTTACAAACTCTGTGAATGTGGCGCGTTAGATAGCGTGCCCGGAGTTTGTTGTCGTGCACCTAGAGGTAATGAGGTCAACTCCCGTTGACGGAACTTTCTGTCTTCTGATAGTGCGTATTCTTTCGACATCACTTCTGCCGCGGAAATCCATCATTAAAGTCTTGGTGCACCCCGGCATAAAACACTTTCGTTTAAAAAAAACGAACGTAGGCATTACGTGCCGGCGTAGTATTGCTCCAAACCACATAGCACATCATAATGTTATTTCTAGCCCCGACATGATGGTCTAGTGGTGATGGCGCTGTACTGCTAATCCGATAGGAAATCAAATCTACAAGACAGCCCCATTAAGCTGATCGTCACAAGATTCGTCACTGAAGATTAACTTGATCAAAAACAAGTTAACAGCAAGATCGCCAGTGTACACAAAACTAAAAGTTTTTTTTTGTTTGGTTCGACTGGGGATGGAGTCTCCTTCTCCTGCACATCCTTCTCTCTAGAAGCCAAGTTCTACTTGGATTTTGTTAATTTTTTTCTAATTGGCACTGCCTTCTATATGCTTATAATGCGGGCCGGGAACTTGCTTAATTTTTTCTTACCTCACTTTAAAGAAAGCTAACCCGAAGGTAGCGGGATAGAATTTTGGCTGTGGCAGCTGCATGTTTGATGGAGGCAAAAATGTTGGTGGTCCATGTATATAGATTTAGATGCATGTCAAAAATCCCCAGATGGGTTATATTTCCGGAGCCCTCCACTATAGCATCTCTAATATCCATATCGTAGTTTGGTGACATTAAACCCCAAATGCCATTATACGTTTTCCACTCGAAAAATTTCAGCAAATACCAAAGTCTGCCTGATGAAATTTCCAGCAGTAAACCTGAGAAAATAGCTTCCTTACAAAAGCTGAAGAGTTTGTTTAGAAACACCCGATTTTTCTGCCTATCCAAACTGCCCTGCTTCCGTTTCTTTTACAGCGTTTCTTTGGAGCACGCGAGCTGAAAAAAAAAGAATACCACGTGAATATCACTTTGTCGTGGCACTCTGAGTGCCCTGAAAGTCAAGTTGAACAAATTATCAAAGGCCTGTCCACACAAAGAAGTCGATTAATAAGGCTATGATTGATTTGTGGGGTTTAACGTCCGAAAATTATGATATGATTATGAGAGATGCCGTAGTAGAGGGCTCCGGAAATTTGCCGTAGAGGAGGGCTCCGGAAAGTGCACCCAAATATGAGCCCTTGGGCCTCCAGCATTTTCTCCTCCATCGAAAATGCAGCCGCCACAGTCGGGATTCGACCCCGCGACCTGTGGGTCAGCAGCCAAGTAACTTAGCCACTAGACCACCGCGGCGGAACTAAACAGGCTATGGGGGACTGCGATGGACCTTAAGGGGTGGTAAGACCTACAAAAAAAAAACTAAAAAAAACGGTTCTGGGACCTAAATGCGGCTGCTACATGCGCTTCATTCACTTTTTTATCTACGTTCATTACCGCACTGCCATCGTGATCATCTCCATTGTTCCTCATCAGGCATTTGGTTATGGATGCTGTTTTCCCGTTCGACAATTTTCTCTGAAACGGTACACCTGTTTTATAGCTAATGTTCATACCAGACACCAATATGTTGTTCAATCTACCTCAGCGCTCGCAGCAGCCACTGGCTCTTATTTCAAGCTACATTTGAGGGTGCTAAATGCACTATGCGATAGGCGGCAGTCGCACGCTATTTTAAGTTCGTACGCTGTGAAAGAATGTGCGAAAAAATAAGCAGGAGAGTTAGCGCAGATTAAAAAAATCTTGTATTTCAGAACAACCTATACACTTTGCGTTGAAGATTTTTATGTCAAGGTACTATATTTCAAATGCATGGCATTTCTTAGCGAACTTCGGTGACTTGGAGCGTATCATCTATCTATCTATCTATCTATCTATCTATCTATCTATCTATCTATCTATCTATCTATCTATCTATCTATCTATCTATCTATCTATCTATCTATCTATCTATCTATCTATCTATCTATCTATCTATCTATCTATCTATCTATCTATCTATCTATCTATCTATCTATCTATCTATCTATCTATCTATCTATCTATCTATCTATCTATCTATCTATCTATCTATCTATCTATCTATCTATCTATCTATCTATCTATCTATCTATCTATCTATCCGCCTTATTTAGATCTCAACCCCTGGGATGATGGTATTGATATTCAAATTGATATGGGATAACATGACTGTATGAAGAGTAGCAGTGACGAGTCATAAAATGAAAATCAATACATGTGTGTCATGAATGTCATAATTTATAATTCATGGTCTTGCAGCTGTAGCGGTGGTTTTGTTTACATGATAGTGCAAAACTAGTATGATACGACAAGACCGCATGGCGAACATAAGTGACGGACCCTAACAAGTAGAGCATTACATGCATTTCATGTCGGTCATGACTACACGCCATGCTCATGGTGCACTAGTTGGCGTTTCGCTAGCTTCACATAGACAAAATTTGGTATTACGTGAAGCGAACGGGCGGTGAAGGTAAATTGCACGTCAAAACATGATAACCTTGTCAGGCGTGTCTGTAGCAACATGACTACAAGCCACCCTAATGACGTGTCACAGTCGTTTCGCCGGCTTCACATAATACACTAATTTTGGTATTACATGGCGTGAATGTATGAAGAAGGTATGTGACTTGTGCAAACATGATAATCATGACATCATATGTGTCATGCGTGTCATGTAAGCACATGACTACTTGCTATGATCCTGACGTGCTCGAGGCCGTTTCGCCAGATCCACATATATCAAGTTTGGTATGACGGGACTTGAATAGGCGACTAAGGAAAATGTCAAGTCCAAACATGATAATCATGAGATGCGTGTCATGTAAAACATGCCCACATGATACGCTCATAGCGTGTTTGCGCCCGTTTTGCCAGCTCCACAAATACCAACTTAAGTATCAACTGACGTGAATAGACGAAGAAGGTAAATGACACTTCCAAAAAATATAAACATTACATGCAAGTCATGTTCGGTCATAATTTATGTCCACCTGGTAACATTGTGCTGATTTTAAAGTGACATATTAACCATCCTCATTGGTGCTTCGCATATAATGATTACCATTGTGCATGCGATCTGACAATTTTTTTTTCAAATTAATCAAGCTGTATTTTATATTGTGGGGCTTGGCTGATTGGATGAAAATATTATGCCGTGATGCTATGGCTAAGAACAAAAATCTCCCAATTATATACGTGTTTTGCCTATGTTTTTTTTGAATACTTGTCGCAAGTTAGCTGAAAACACCCTTTATACGGCACATCTCTTCACTGTGCTTTCAGCCCTTCTACCCTACCTTTTTTTCTTTCTCAACGTGTATGCATCCTGGCTGTATTCCAAGTGCAGAATAATAATTAGAGTTAAAGACATGCAGGTCTGTGCGCATTCTCCAAAAAATAGATCGTTCATTTTGTTTCCTTGCAATTGAAATGAAAATAAGCTAGGACTTATTCAATTATGAAGTTAGTATGAGATCGCCTGCTTGCTTATTACTGCACTTAGTCTATTCCTTTTTGATTGATTTCT